TATTTGGACTAATATATTAATTAACTTAATATAATCCAAACAACTTAAATAAATGTATTTTTGATAAATTTTAAGTGACTACAAATACAAAGGTGAAAAACTTATTTATTCTATACGATACCCCCAAAACCTAGTTGTAACATGTACAAGACACTTATGAAAATACAAAATTGGAAAGACAAATACAAGTCTAAATATCAAGTAAAACAAATCTTAAAGAGAAAGGGAAAGAGGGTATTTCATGATGACAAGCAGCTACTACTCAAAATCCTTTACGAACCACAATTGTCAAGAGGAGAAGAAGATCACCTGAGTCTAGGCTCGAAACCTACACAAGTGTAGAAGCAAAGGGGTGAGTACCAACAATATAGTACCTAATAAATAACCTACTAATCAAAGCGACTAGCTAGAACGTGAATAACCCTGACTCTCCAACCGAACCTCCTCAATACTTTCACAAAAAGCAATCTAGCCTAGAAATTCTACAATATGACCCAAAAAGCCCAATATTCACAGTCCAATAACCACAATTTAACAATTAAAAGAATCAAATAAGTCAACCTCAAAATCAAGTAATTTAATCACACACAACAAGTATGCTAACAATTAACCACCAACTAACATATAAATATCATGTACATCAAGTCATAATAGTCCGTCTCTTGTAAGAACCATTTCCCATTGACTTTGTAGCCACTTGCGAAATATGACCTTGTCATCACAACACACGTCGGTAAAGAACTCGACATCACAACACTCGCCGAAAATGACCTCAACCTAATAACACTCACCGCCAAAGACCTTGGTCTAATAACACTCGCTGGCAAAGACCTCTGTATAATAACACTTGCCAGCAAAGACCTCCGCATAACAGCCATCATATGTCTCATCACGATGTTCAACGATCAATGCACACATCAATATCACACCACAAGGAAGAGACAATAAATTGCACAATTCAAATCTGCATTTATGCTTTCAAGGATTTCATCAATCAATCTCTAACAACAAATAAAGCTATTTACATGATCATGTTCATCACATAATATATTTTTCATTTCTACCCCTTTTTATTCATTTAAATATTAGTAAGTGGACAATTTAAATCCTTCAACCCATCACCATTGCTACCAACACACCATCAACGAAGGAAGTAAATGAATTTTATTAGAATACAAAGTTTAGAAACCCACTTGTCTTAAATCAATCAACTATCACTCTAATAGTTGAGTCTCTCCCTCTATATCACTTTTAAAGCCACACAATCTATGCACAAGGAAGTATTCACAATCCTATTTTGAAAACGATAATACCTATATCAAATTCTCTTGAAAACTGGATCAATCAACACAAACCCAATTCAAAAAATAAGGTTTGAATTCAAAATTGAATACTTGAAAACATTATTCTATACTTTAGAAACTAATTAGGGAAAATCATCTCAAAAAGGACATAAAATAAGTTCACAAACTCACTTTTACTTCATTACACAATTAGTTCTTGAATAACTTCAATTTATCAACTCAAAATCTTGATTTAAATCATAAATATAATAATAATAATAATAATAATAATAATAATAATAATAATAATATAATAATAATAATGGGTAATCAAAGATTTATTGTTAAAAAATATTAGCCAATAATTTTATCTTAAAACCCCCACTTGAAATCACATCTACCAAGTTTCCAAAGCTCCAAAAATCAAAATGGGTAAGAAATCCCAAAATTTAGGTTTAAACACTATTAAGGGTCCTCCGCGAATGCGGGTTTTAATGAGTTGAACTTTCGCAAATGCAGTAGGTCTTCCACGAACGTGGAGATCAACCCATTGACCTCCCACAAATGTGTTCAAGACTCTGCAAAATGAGGGGTTCTTACCCCATCCTTTCTGCAAACGCGACCACAAGCTCCACAAACGCAAAGGGTTGCACTAAACCATAGAACACCAAGAACTCAAAAATCATCGAAAGGACCCTCATAATTGTTCGAAAATCCGTACACATAAACCACACATGCAAATCAAATATACTCGACGTTCAAACTTAACGGAACCGTCAAAACACGAATATGAGGTGTCCCTAATCTGACATTCATGAAAATCATAAGAAACTAACTCAATACCTAAAAAGGCGAAAACAAGCTTGAGGCCTCTCAAAATCAACCAAGACGTCACCTATGCCTAAGATCATCCCCCCAAATCTAAGCAAGCTCTCGAATTCCGATCCGAGCATGCGAGCCCTCAATGTTGACCAAAGTCAACCCAAAGATTGAATTTTATTTCACAACTTAGGATCTCAAATCCTCAAAAAGATTTGAAATAAAAAATTGAATACTCTTACGGTTGGGGTTTCACATTTCAAGACTAGTGAAATCGATGAAATTTAATTCCGAATCTCAGAACTCGAAAAGACCTCAAAGTCACTTTCTTAACAGATTAGCCTTTAAAATTCACAAACTAACCAATTTCTCAACTTTTTACTCAAATTCAAAATCAACTTTCAAATCAATTATAGAAGACTTGGAATTAACATTGGGAGAAACAAAGTGATAATTTTAAGAAATTTTTCAAAAATGACCGGGTAGGTGGAGAAGCGTTGCCAATACACATATTTCAGAGCAGAATAGGGTGGCAGACCTCCTAAGGAGGGCTTTAGGAGCAAAACCCACCTTTTAGATACTTTTTCTAGTGTTTGCAAAGAATGCAGTTCAGCAAACATTTCAGGAACTATATACTCAAGAAAACTTTTTTTTAAGCAAGTTAACTACTTCATATTTTGAGAAGTTCGATCGTTGTTTATTTCAAATCGATGAAGGTGACATAGCCAAGTAAGAACTCTTTTGTTTCGCTTAAACAACCAATTTTACCTCTAATAGTTGTAGTAGTAATAATATATCATCTCCTATTTACCATGTCACACCCCCTTTTTCGCGCGGCGGCGTATGGGTTTTTCCAATTTAAATGACGTAATTAATTAGGGGATTATTTTAGCTTTTCAGAGTCGCCACTCGGAATTGAGTTACGGTGTTCCAAGTCACCTTTTATTTAATCCCTAATCAAAAGGAAATGACTCTTTGTTTGGTCTGCGAACGAGTTTGGGTAAGGAATTCTGTTGACCAAGGGGAAGGTATTAGGCATCCCTCGAGTCCCGTGGTTCTAGCACGGTCGCTTTATGGACATTCATGACTTAAACTAATTTATGAATATTGTATTATTAAGACAAATATATTTACCCTCATTCTTTGACTTATATAAATATATTAAAACTACCTTATTTTATTAATCTATGCCCTTTAATTAAAATATATATATACACATCTAAATTAAATCAAGCAAAGCAGAATAAAATAAGATATTCTTTATTATTATTATTTCTTTTGTTTTTATTATTATTTTTATTTTTTATTCTATTTTTTACATTTTTTTTACTTTCTTATCTTTTGCTATTATTATTATTTATTTTATTATTATTTTTTATACTTTCAAGGTTTTATTTGTTTTTGTTTTTTTTTTTCAACTTAATTTTTTTTGTTTGGACAAAGAAACTTTCAAAAAATAAATATAAAAAATTCTTTCCTCTTCAATTGAATTTTTTATATTATTTTTATACTTCTTTTCTATTTTTTTTTGTTTTCTCTTTTCCCTCTTTTTTGTATGTTCTTTTTCACAGTTTATTTTTTTTTAACTTTTCCCTTTTTCCTTTTATATTATTATTATTATATTTTTTCATTCTTTATTCGATTTTTTTTACGTCACTAACATTAAATAAAAATTCTACTAACTAAAATTAATATATTTACATAATAGATACACCTGTTATCATTATAAACTAAATATTAAAAATTACATGACTTGGACAATATTTTTACTTAAATACAAAATAAACTATGGGTTATTTAAATATAAAATAAATCGTGGTTTGATATAATAATTTCACACTAAATATAATTATACCAAGGATCTAAACATAAACTGATATGAACGTTTGAACATACTTCATACAATAACATGAATAAATATTAATGGTTTAAACATACGCGAAATTTAACAACTTTAATATATATTGCGATTCATTCTCGCATTATCATGACATAAAACTAATACAAAATAAAATTAGTATTACCTCTTGTGGAAATTATTTCACAAAAAGAAAGAATTTAAGAACCACGAACTTGAAACCTCGAACTCCACTATTTTTAGTTGTGCTTTTCTTTGTGCGTGTGTTCTTCGGAAAAAAAATTCTTTGTTATTTCTTCTCTTTTTTTTTTTTACTTGCAGATTTTTTGTTTTCCTCTTTTCTTTTTTTTCTCGTGTGTTTTTCTCCTTTTTTTTTCTTTTCTGATCTTTTTTTTTTTTTTATATATATACATGTTTTGTGTAGTGTGTGCAGGTGTACGTGGGGTGTGAGTGGGAGTGGGGAGTGGGGAGGGATCGTGTGTGTGTTCCTTTTTTTTTAAATATTAAATATATATATATATATATATATATATATATATATATATATATATGAAAATGATAATTATATTAATTGCTAATTGTTTTGAGTAAATAAATAAAAATATTTAAATGGATAATTAAAACAAAAAAGACATAATTAAGAAATATTAGTTTATTTAAATAATATATGTAATATATATACATATATATATATATATATATACATATACATACACATATACATATATATATATATATATATATTATTTTTTTTATTTTTTTTCAACTATCAAAATAAATTTATCTAATAAAAATTATGTTTATGTTGTTTATTCTTATATCTTTTAAATAAACTTAATGAAAATAATAAATAAATAAATAAAATTATAATATATTCAATTTAGATTGATAAAATTATTTATGCTCTAAAAGTTGATGTTAAATTTAAATTCGGTCAAAATTACGTGTCTACATACCACCCAAAAAAAAAGCATTTCAAAATCATGAATAGTACTGATAAATATATAAAAGGTTATAAGAAATGAAATAGAAAAGCCATTAATTGTTAGATGTTTAATTTGCTATATTATCCATATATACCCTAATGAAATACTATCAAGCAAGTGCAACATGTTTTCTGATAGTGAACTCCCTTCAATTATTCCAGAAGAGAGTAACAAATTTCCATAAATTTTTGTTAAGAAACGAAGCGAAATGTTACTCTAAAATCTACATAAAGTCTATACGCTTATAACATGATGATCATCCATACACAGAGTTGTTGTTATTAATTAAATTGAAAGCCTCAACTCCAAATCTAATTCATGGTCGCCGTTTGATTCAGAGATATGACTAGTACTTGATCCAATTGAGTTATTTCTGGTTCGATTCTCCATTGATTCCTGTAGTTCATTCATCAAACTATAAGACATTACAAAAATAATATGAAAATTCCAATTTATTTGATTGAGAAATGCAAGAAAATATATACCTCTATTTGTAGGTTAAGTAGATATCTGTTCATGTTTGGCTGAGCAAATTGATGAGGCTCATACACTGTGCCAGGATGCCAAGCACTGAATGTGATAATAATAAAAGGTAAAAAAATCATATATTAGCTAAGGGTAATAATAACAGTCCTAATGAAATGACTCATTTATGAAAAAAAAAACGATCCAAAAACATATATGTGTAAAGTTTTATTTATGAAGGATATTGAGCATGATAAGGTTTTTAGGAATTACAAGTGACAAAACACATTTAGGTCGGTCAAAAAAAATAAGCTCTTTAGTGAAAGTTGACTCTACTATTAACATTTTATATATATTGACTGTGTTCTCTTCATCTTCTAACAAACTTCATCTTCACCTTGATCCCCATCTTGTTTAGTATTTATAAAAATTATGTATACAGTTACTTTTATGATAATAGTTTTTCACTTGCACTAGAGAATACAAGAAAATAAGTAGGAAAACACAATTAATTTCTAAAAGAAAAATATTCTCCTTCAACACACCCTTAATTATAAAGTACAAACTGATTTTCTATTAAGTAGGAAAATTAATAAAGTAAATAGTACCTAGGTGTAGAAGGTAGCTGGGAATCTCCATATCTAATATTTGCTCTTTCAATGTCCCCCAATCCCATCTGAAATCAAAGAAAGATTTGTTATCACTCATAGATAGGGAAAAAAATATCTTGTAGTTGCACACATACATAGTTCCCAAAATAGCATAAAAAAATTTCAATTTTTAGTATCCAAACATATGGTACAATTTTGTCATATTGGTTTAGGACACTTTGTAATTATGTAATGTTCATCTATTACAAAAAAACAAGTCATTATATTAAGAGGGTCGGCCGTCAGGTCCAGTCTAGTCTACCTTTTAATCCACAAGGATTAGAATCAAATAAAAATGAATGTGCATTCTCTTCCCATAATATTGGAATTGATTTTTTAAAAAAAAGATAGATAGATAGATAAAAAGTAGGGGTACCATAATGGTTTGTTGTGGTGTAAAAGCATAAGAAGAGGTTGATGATGAATATGATGAGAATGATGGAGTTGATGAATAAGGGTTGTAAGTATTGCAACCCATTTGAGTATGTAATCTAATTTTCTCAAGTTGAGCAACACCAAGACCTCTTTGTGGTTGTTTTGGCTTCTCTAAATTATTGTTCTTTTTGCTCTTTCTTGATGATGATGATGATCTTTCATTTCCCAACTTTGGTTCACCAAAATAACCACTTCCCATTCTTTCTCTTCCAAAAAATAAGAACTAACAAATAAATTTGTGTGTCAAGTAGTTGTTTGTGAAGAGGAAGGAGATCTCCTAAAAGGGGTTTTTATATATGATCTCCAACTTCCCTATTATAATTTTATAATTAATGCATTGCTGGATCAGATTGTCTATTTACATTTATCAGATTCATTTCATTTATTTTATTTTATACTTGCTTGGATTTTATGCCCTTTAATTATTTTAGTCTTTTTTTCTTTTTTTTGTCAACTTCCAAAAATTTTCGATATTACTCATTCCGTTTAAAAAAGAATAATCTTTCTTGATTTGAGTACAAAATTTAGGAAAGTAAAAAAGATTTATCAATCGTATTATCCTAAATTAAAGTTAGAATAAATGTATGAAAATGCACTTTAATATTGTGGTACTCCCTCCGTCCTTTTTTTATTTGTTATGTTACGCTTTTCGAAAGTTAATTTGATTAATCTTCAAAGTTAAATTAGATTACATTAATTCACACATATGAAGAAAAAATATTGGGATAATGCACAAGTACCCCTCAACCTATCCCCAAAATCTCAGTGACACACTTATATTATACTGATGTCTTATTACCCCATAAACTTATTTTATTAATAATTTTCTATCCCTTTTCGGCATACGTGACACTATTTTGTGGGTCCAATGTTGATTGACTTTTTTTCTCAAACTAGTGCCACATAGGCCAAAAAGGGGTAGAAATTTACTTATAAAATAAGTTCAGGAGGATAATAGGACCTTAGTATAGTTATTTTGTGGGTCCAATGTTGATTGACTTTTTTTCTCAAACTAGTGCCACATAGGCCAAAAAGGGGTAGAAAATTACTTATAAAATAAGTTCAGGAGGATAATAGGACCTTAGTATAGTATAAGTGTGACTTTGAGATTTCGGACAGGTTGAGGGATACTTGTACATTTTACCAAAAATATATCATAAAATGTAATTTAAAGTTTTTATAATTTAACACTAAAAAAAATTCATAATAATTAAAAATGGAAAAATATAATATTAAATATATCATGTAGTGTTTCCAAAAGAAAAAGAAATTATTCTTTTTTTAAGCAGAGGTAGTATTATTTTATTTGATTGTCCTTCAATCATAAACTCATATTAATTTAATGCAATTATATATACAAAATCTTTTTTTTTTCTCTTATGTGCTTCGATTCCACGTTTCTTCTCACTAACCTCCTTTTATTAATTATTTTTTTCTTACCTCTCTTGGGAATTGACTATAATAATGATAATCTATAATATTATAGCGTGCATCTTATTTGCGTTAAAATTTTTGTATGGGTGATAATTATTTGTTTTGAAAATAGATTTTATACCCTATTGGTTGAACACCCTTTATGTGTTGACATTTTATTAATTCCGTTGAAGTACTCCGTCTAGTCCAATATAATGATTGTTGACACTTTTTTATAGTGAAATTATTTTGGTTAATGGATTATAGAACTATCTTTCTTTTTAATGGATCTTTTAGCTACTTTTATATCGCAAATAATGACTATTTTTATTTTTAAAAAGAGTTTGAAAAGAGTGAAAAAAGAAGAAGATAATTTTAACCATTTGACATTTGATTAATGTATTTATATTTTTATTTGGACTGAAGGGAGAAATATTTAATAATTTGCTTATACGCAAATTGGAAGAAATATGAGGAATTATGTTATCTAGATGAGTAAGATGCAATGTGTCGATGGTCCTGTTTGATTCTCGTAAGTAAATGTGCATTATCATATGAGAATTATCTAACGTTTGACATAGATTTTTATTTGATTAATTAATTTTTGTCCTTAATTAAGAGTTTTCACCTTTTTAGTCTTTGCTGATTTTAACTCACAATTTTAAAATTAAACGTGAGGGATTGTTGTCATCCGATCAAGGTCCTCACTTCCAACAAAATTTGGTGAAATTTGAATTGAAGTTCTAACTAGGAGTGTATATGACCGGATTGGTTTGAGTTTTTCAAATATCAAACCAAATTATTCGTGTAAAAAAATTAAATTTATAAACTAAACCAAACTAATAAAATTTGGATTTTTTCTGATTTTTCAATCTCAGGTTGGTTCGGGTTTTTCAAATACCAAATCGGACCATTGTGCCAAATTTTTTAAATTTATAAATCAAACCAAACTAATAAACTTCAAATTTTCTCAGATATTTGGATTTTTTCGGTTATGTGTGCATACAAACAAATAATTAACTTGTGCTCCAAAATTTCTTTAGCCCAACCAAAATACAATTATCTAAGGTGCTTCTTAAAAAAATAACACAAAATATGAGATTAGTATTGATGACACAAAAATATTCAATAAAAAATAATAATGAAATCATCATATAAAATAAATATTGTAAAGTCATATGAAACTAATCATAATTTAAAAGTACTAAATCATGCTAAATTAAGTTTGATAAATATTAGTTACATTACTAAATATTTAAGAAAAATTATTATTAGATTATGTATTTTAATTGTCTAAACCAATATAAAGCTAAAAAACAAATATTCAATATTATTGTCATTCTTAGTGTTTAATTGATTTTCTTCTTGCATTAATATTAATTTGATTTTGATTTAAGTTTTATTATAATGATCAACATCTATGAACTATAATCTTTATTGAACCATTCCGAATTCTAAGTTTTAAACTTGAAATGATATATTAAAAGATAAAGCTATGAAATAATATAAGAAATATTTAAAAATGATATCAAAGTAAATATTTTTATGTATACAATAAAATTTTAAAATTACATATAAAATGTCGGGTTGATTTGATCTCGGATTGTTTTTTTAGTTAAAACCAAACCAACCCAAATATAGTTGGATTTTTTGTTCCTATACAAAATCACTAGTCGGATTTCTTTTTACCGATTTGACTCGATTCGGTTTTATACACCCCTAGTTTCAACATGTGTATTTAACCTTTTTTTTAAAAAAAAAGACATAAAAGCTGCATATTTAAAAGTTCACAAACCTATAAAAATTGATACAAGAAGAAAACATTAGTACATTTTAGCGAAAATCATTTTATTATTATTATTGTTGTTGTTTTCATAGATTTTAGAGTTTTTGAAAAAAAAAAAGAAGAAACAAAGATTTCCCAAAATTAGATAAATGTTATGATTAAACAGATTTTTCCAAAAAAAAACAAAAAAAAAGTAAAAATCCCAAAATATACTTATAATAATTAATATTTATAACCAAATGGTCCTGAAGAGTTACAATATATAATAATTATAGATCCTTGAAATCTTTATTAGCTACTTTGTAGGGATTGTCTTGTAGGATTAATGAAACTTTTTGACCTTATAACCAATTACATGAAGCAAACATACATGCTAAATATACTTAAAAATAATTCCACAGCTGGGGTTTTATTTATTTTTTGTTAAAAGAACAACTTTTTTTTTTAATTATTATTATTTGAAAACTGATGAGTCTCGTGTAAGGAATAATAATTTAATGAGAATCAGATCTTGAATGTATATGAGTTTAAGATAACAACACAATTGTAATTAATGTGAACAATATAACATTTTTTTTTAGAAAAAATGCACAATTATCCCCTTAATCAATATTCGAAATTTCAGATACACACTTATAATATACTAAGGTACTATTACTCTTTTATTTTATAAGTAATTTCCTATCCTTTTTCGACCTACGTGACACTAACTTGAAAAAAAAGTCAATCAGCATTAGGCTTACAAGATAGTGTCACGTAGGACGAAAAAAGATAAAAAAATATTAATAAAATAAATTCAGAGTGTATCTCTAAAATTCGAACATAAATTGAGGGGACACTTGTAAATTATTTTTTTTTACAATTCATGCAATTTATTTCAGAATCTGAATCCAAATCTGAAGGATAAATTATACTAGTAAAGAAATAAATTATGACTCCCTTTCATTCCCTTTTAAATGATCTTTTGGTCTTTTAATTTATTCCAAAATAATTGTTTTTTTTATAAAAGAAGTATTGATTTATTTTTATTTACAAAATTACCCTTATCTAAGTAAATGTTTTGATAATTTTTTAATAAAAAGTTTCAAAGATTTTTTACAATTTTAATGCATATATTAAAGAGATATTTTACCAAAATGACTTACTTAGGGTATGCTAAATATACTTAACATAATCGTAGGAAGTAATGTAGAATTTTAAAGGTGTAAATCATAATCTAATCAAAGCTGTTAGACGCATGATTTGTGGGGCATATTTTATGAGTTGTTGTGTGGTGGAAAGAGAGAATCCACTCATTTGTTAAACAAACATGTGAACTCTAGACATTACAATTTAAGAAAACAAATCTTTTTTGACAGTGTATCGATCGGTTTAGTTTGATTTTAAAGTTTATTAATTTGATTTATTGATTATTTCAGTTTGTAAATATGCTATTTCATTATAAAAATATGAAGATAGTGGCTCATCAATAATCAATTGATTAGATCGTTATCAATTTGATTATCGATTTAACTATTAAGATTTGAAAAAAAAATAATTAAAAATCACTAATAAATAAGGTGTCAAATCAAATAAACCATGCACATAAGTGACAAATTGCATTTTGCGTAAAGGAGCTCCGACAAATCGTAAAATAAATTGAGAGTTTGAGACAGCTCAAAAATAAAAATATGAAGCTAAAGCCTAAGTTAAGGACTTTCTATATCGAATGATATAAATATAATTTGTTATGAGATATCGACTAATCATTAAAGAAAATCTCAAACAGTTAATAATCAATAATTCGATAATTAAAAAAATAAAACTCATTACAAAAATTACTAGATCAATTATTCATTATAAATAAATTATTAACTTTATTCTGATTCGAATTATCAATTTTAATTCAATTTTGAAGACACCTACCTAAAAGTGTCATATTCTCTTTCAGATCTCTTCCTTCTCTTGTCATTCCATAGGAAGTCACTTTTTAATGGTCCATTCACGGGATAACTGTAAGGTACTAATGTTTAAGGTTTGCTAACTTAGGGTGTAGAAAGTGTTTTCATGGAAAATATTTATGTAGAACTTGTTTATGGGGAGAATTTTATTATTAAAATATATATATATTTTTGAAAAATAAGTGACTTTCTTTAGTTACTTATTTTTAATATATATTTATTAGATAGGGTGGGAAGTGGGGTGGGGCCAGAGTGTATAGAATGTGACGTTATTTGCTTAGATCAAGATTTATTTTTAGCAATAGTAATTACGTAATATAAAAGGTAGGAATTCAGTTATTCCTCGTTATCAAGTTGACATGTAATAACAATTAAAAAAATATGTATAATAATACACGTTTTACTCTATTCAAAATTTAAATTCATGAGTAAATATCTGTACCCATTTTTTAAAAAGAAATCTTTTAGGCAAATCTCTCTAAAATTAGGTGTTCTTGAATACCACATTTTAAGTTAATTACT